ACGTGTTGAACCTTTACATGACAGCGTAGATTCGAACTCTGTCGATGGCTAATCTAACATCTAATATAACAAAATCTATTGTTTAACAAAAAATAAAATAAAATATTTGTGTATACATGTAAAAAAAAAAAAGAAAACTCACAAAAAAAATATAATTGAAGTGAAATAGTTGCACATATTATTTTTTATGTCATTGTTGAATAGTACTTCAAATTTTCCGAGGATCGCAAAAATATTCGGCCACAATGACGGCAGCCAGCGACAATTTTTGGCATTGGCACCGGTGACATGCGGGTCACGTGCAATGAAGATAAAAAATATAAATGTTGTTATGCTTATAAATGTACTTGCCGACGATTTTGTGACTTAATCCAAATAGAATGAGAGGAATTAGTAGTTTCCTTAAAGTTGATATTTTTCTTTAAGATTTTTATTAAAATTAATATTTAATCTGAATTTGCTTTAAACTAAATTTGGCTGGTATACCATAGCAGGGCTTGCGAACAGTTTTTTTTTTTTTCCTTCTTTTTTTTGTCAAACGATAGATTTAGTGTTTTTTTATTTAATTTTTTTATTTTTTTGTAACAAACGATGTTATCTATACTAAGAGGAAGGGGGTAGACTTAGCCTCACAATGGACTAGTAATAATGCGGTTCGAATTCGTCTTTAGCGAGAATCAAACATAAGATCTATCACTTACAAGAGAAGAGGGATACCATTATACCGTAGTACTAAGTGGCAACAATAGATTTTGTTAAATTATATGTTACATTAGTCACCGACAGAGTTTGAATCTACGCAATCATGCAAGGGCTCAACATATTTCCATTACTGTGATATAGGACCACTTGCACTTGTGAATAGTTAGAAGTATGGGTAAATAAGAATTTTTTTATTATTTAAAATTTCTTTGTTTTATTTGATTAAATTATTCGACAACACTAATTAATAAAGGGATTTTGGGATTGTTGGAAACTTAATCTTATCGTATAGTTGACATCAATGATAGGAATAAGGCAAGAGAGTGGAGAGGAGAAAAACAGTGTGATCATTTTCTTTTTCTTAAATATAGTATTGATAGGTGAATCAACTGCTAGTGTAGTTAACGAGGAAAACTTATGCACCTAATCTGACCTCTTCTGAAAGCATATAGTCACAATATATATATTTTTATTACAAGAGAAATTATTATTTTAAATTAGATTATAGGGAGGGGATATGATCAAATTCAGAATGCAGTGGATTAGTTGAACTTGCTCCTAAAAATTATATAGCCTACTGGCACGCATGCCGAAGTAACTAAGGAGCTAACTAAGTTTTTCGGTGCTTGATTGTTGATGTGGGCTTGCCATTTCGCTACAAGCTCGGCCAAGCAAATATTTTTTAGTTGGTGTGCAGTGAAATGCGCTACTAACTTCTAAACTGAGAGATTTCAAAGGTAGAAGGAACACTCTTGGCCTTGGATGCTATAACCTGAAGACAAGGTTATGCCTATTGCTTTGAAGTTCAATAATGATTCGGCTTTTTGTGTCCTGAACACTTAATGTAACTTGGGTAACACCTAATTTCGTCAAGAAAGCTAATTGAAGTGACCTCTTTTAGGGGATGAATCAAAGACTCATCGGGTGAGACTTGAGATAAATAACTAGTCAAACTTGAGAAACTTACTGTCTAACCACGCAATCAAGACTCCTAATCCAAATTGATTCTGCAACTCTGTTGTCAGCTAACCATGTTGTCGCCTTTGCTGGTTTTCTTGGAAAACCTCATGTAACCAAACAATGGTCGTCATTCGTTAGTTGCCAACCTAAATCTGTCTAACCATATTGTATTCGTGTTGACGGTTAGTAAAGCAATTACTGTTTTTTCTCAAAATGGATGAGAAGGTTCGCGTCAAGCGTTGATTTGTGTGTTGATTTGAAGGTCCCTTTTCACAATGTCAACTCTCCTGTATATATAGCCAAGCTTTCTTAATTACTGGACAGGGCCAACCCAAGCCTAGTGCGGGTTGGGCGACTGTCCAGGGTCCAAAAAAAATTGGGGGCACCAAAACTATTACGATGGTATTTCATATATGTTTCCATAAGAGTATAAATTTTCAAAATTTGGTAAAATGACACAAATATTTATCTAGAAATGGTGACTTTTGTTTTTGAATTAATGAGGGGGTCTTGGGTTCAAAACACCATGTGTGTTTATTTACTTTCCATTTTTTTTCAAATTTCTTTTCATAAGAGTAAAATTGATAAAATTTGGCCAAATGATCAAAAAGTTTGATCAGAAGTGGTGGCTTACATAATTTAAAATTAACAAGGTGGTCTGGGGTTTGAAACACTAATTTTACGAATTTCTTTTCATAGAAGTTCAAATTTATGAAACTTGGCTAAATGATCAAGAAGTTTAAATAGAAGCAATAGTTTTTGTTGTTTAAAAGTAACGAGAGGTCCTGAGTTCGACATGCTATGTGAATGCTTATTCTTTTCATTTTTTACGAATTTATGTTTGGTTATTAATTTCTTTTTAATCATTAGCTAGTAGCTATGTCAGTTTTTAAACATTCGTTCCAATTCAAGTCTAACTTGCACTAAAGAGTAGTGCGTAGACCAAATTTGTAGATCACATTTGCAAATCATATGACGTGTCACCTATAGTTTTAATTTAGTGCTCATTCATTGATTATACATATCAATTAAAGACTCAAAAACATCATTATTTTTTTAGTCCCATATTGATAAGGTTAGTAAATAAGAAAAAACACATCATGATTTGAATAAAAACATTTTAAAAGTTCACACAAAAGGAAAACAAGTTTTTTGTTTCCCTCTCAATACAAAATAAATTAGTTTTTTAGTATTTTTAAATTATTGAGTTTGAAATACTTTTCTAAGTATATTTTATCAAAGCCTTACATGTGAAAACAAATATTTTTTTTTATATGAAGTTAGAACACATTTTTCTGGCTTTGCCCAAACCTCAAAATCTTAGGACCAGCCCTACTCCCACATCACCAATCCGTAGATATCTCCTTAGCTGCAGACGTCCACATGCTAAGAATCCCAATCAAATTTAACTCGATGTCCACCATCCAAAGAGAGATCAAGTTAATCTCATCAGAATTCTCAGAGATGATTACCATGACTTTAAAATCACAATAATATTTGAAAGATTATCATAACAATCTCTCTATCCAGTGGCTTAAATGCATAAGTCGATGGTGCAAAAGCGGGTATAAACAGTGTTGAAGAAAAGACCTTATTCACTAAGGCACTCCACCACTTAGTTAGAAATTGCAATATTAACTGGTTAAAATATTACAGCATTTCCATGGAAATGGCTAAATGCTACTCCAGGTTTGTTCCAAGAAGTCAATGGCACCACGTCAGAATTGAGATCCAATCACCGTAAGGGAAATGAAGTCAATGAGTTTCTAACTTTCAATTTGTTATCCAATAGAGTTGTGCCTGAAATCGAAACTTGTAATGATTAGGTGAGGTGGTAGACGGCACTTATGGAATCTTTTCTAACACTTATGTGGATCAATGTCATTGGATTATGAGTTATAAAAACATCGAGAGGGGACAACAATCCACTCTGCAGATAACACAGTCTGGTTGCAGAAAATATTGGAGAATGTTAGACTTTAGACCCTTTTAGCATGATCTCAACAGCCTATTTGTTCATGTCGCTATCAATATCAGTTGAACCAATATTTATATATGCTTCTTAATTACTCCCACGTTCTTTTGGTTGGTTGCCATGCGTGATTCTCTCTCCACCAACTTCACCAAATATCATTCTATCAAGCAAGCATCTCTCTTTCCAGAAGTAATTTTTTTAGTGCGACGGTGGAGAGGGATGCGGAGTTAGGAATGTACATAGCAGTGGGTTAGTATTTTTCTTCTGCTGGAGCATAGAGTGCAAATTAGGTTTAGGATGGGCTAAAATTTTGTTTCTCACAAATTTAAGCTAAATATCAGTAGTAAATTAGTAATATCAGACTTTTCATATGCACTAGTGATGTTATTCATAGTATAATATGAGTTGAAGATAAGTTAGATATATATATTTCTTGAACTTGGGTTAATATTGATAAAAAATACATGTGTTATAATATCTGTAAGAGTGAAGTGAAAGAGTGCATAGGGTGTGTTGTGCGACTGTCGTATGTCACTAAAGCTCAAGGAAAAATTTTATAGGATGACAATAAGGCCAGTAATGCTTTATGGCACGAAATGTCAGGCTGTAAGGCATCAACACGTACATAAAATGAGTGTAGTGGATATGAGAATGCTTCGTTGGATAAGATTAGGAAAGAGGATATCCGAGGTAAAGTAAGAGTAGCTGAAATTGAAGGAAAGATAAGAGAAAATCGGTTAAGGTGGTTTGGACATGTGAAACGAAGGCCTACAGACGCTCCGGTTAGAAGATGCGATTATGAGATAGAGGTTCAGGGCTGAAGGGTAGAGGAAGACCTAAGAAGACTTGGAAAGGGACTCTAAAAAAAGATTTAGAATACTTGGATCTAACGAAAGACGTGGCACATAATCGATCACAATGAGGTTCTAGGATTCATACAGCCGACCTCACTTAGTGGAACAAGACTTTGTTGTTGTTGTTGTTGGTAATACCAGGTGGGTTTGTGATTTTCATACTAAACCGTTTTCTTAAGTTACTAACTAATCATATAGTGATAATTACTTGTCCATGACACTACAGATCAGTACTATTCCCTTCACTCTCGAACCATTATTTCTGCATTGTTTTTAAAATTATGTTATTTACCTTGGTTCCATCTGAGCTGTCTTGGCCCCAGCAGGGAATCCTGCAAATTGGTTTTCAAAGAATTATGAATTGTTATGGCATTGTTCAGATTAACTAAACCCTGTATATGATTAATGACATCATTCTGTATTATTATAATTGAGTTCACAGTTGGGTATAAATATAGTCACTTTAATTTCATTTCCACCACTCATTCATAAAGCATCTCTTAATTTAGAATAAAGACAAACCTTTTTGTTCCTTGGGAAAAAATGGAGCATATTGAAGCTGTTTCAGAAGGAGAATGGCCCTCTCTCAGTGGGATGTACATTGCTGAGGAAGTAGATTTCATGTCCCAGTTGCTTGGAAATTTTTCAAACCAAATATCAAGCATGGGAATAACTCCAGATGCTTTTTGCTCTGGTGGTAACTATGAAGGTTCACATTATTATTCATCAGAAACATCTTATTCAAATTCACTGGAGGGTAATTTTAGTGGTGGTAATAGGACATTTTACCCCACTTCAAGGAGTGAGAGTTACTACTTGAGTGAATCTTCTCACCCCATGTTGGTAACAAACAACAGCAAAATCTCTATGTCTATTGATTTTGGTGCTGGGGATGTGATCAAAACCCTAAATTCCTCTCTCATTGAAGGAGATCATGATCAATGCTTGAACCAAGAAAGAAGTGATGGCAATGCAGAAGAGAGTGGTGGAAACCCGGCTGAAGATGGGGCCCTTGGCAATCAGAGATTTGATATGACTGCAGCAAAAGAACAATCCCCGGAGGAAATTAACCCCACCAAGAATTCATTGAAAATATCTCCAAGCTTAGAAAATGTAATTATATTTTTCTCACCCTTCAGTCAAAATTATTTACTTAATTGTTACCATTTCTTAAAAATATAATAATAAGACAGGAGTTGGTTTATTTGAGCATTTTCTGATCATAAAAACAATGCAGGTTCAAATGAAGAAGAGGAACATAAAGGCAAAGAAAAGCCGGCAGGTGACAACTAGCAACAATGAAGAAGACGGTAATGCCGCTGGGCTCAACAGACAGAGCTACAGTTGCTGCTCAGGAGATGACCAGTCCAATATTGTTGCCTCACATTCCCATGAGAATTCTCAGGAGCTGAGTGGAGGAGTTAGTATTACTTCAACTTCAAGCTTGAGTCCAACAGAGGTTGCAGCTCTCAACTTGAGTGGCAAATCAAGAGCTAGAAGGGGGTCAGCCACTGAACCCCAAAGCCTCTATGCAAGGGTGAGTTCCTATACACTATAAAAAGGTTTTATAGACTCTGTCTATTTTCCTTTAAGAAAATGATATATGCACCCCAATTTTCTCCCATTGCACATTCCTATTTATTATTTTTAGAAAAATTAACGAAAAGTTCAAAAAAACTTTCCTTTTAATGAAAAGTCCTTTTTAAAGGTATAATAAATAGTACCAGGAAAATGTGTAAATGTGGTTTTTCGTTAAAAGTGAATAGTACCGAAAGTGTTTTGTTAAACCTTCCATTTTTAGGAAAACTATTCTATTCAATCGAAGACCAAAAATAAATCTGGTGTCCCAAAATCACTTTCCATTTGTAAAATAGCTCATTTTTCTAATTTTCCCTTGTCGTGCAGAAAAGAAGAGAGAAAATAAATGAGAGGCTGAGAGTCCTGCAGGGCCTTATCCCCAATGGAACAAAGGTAGGCATAATTCCTTTAGACATAATATTTTGTCCAAAAAAACATTGATGCAGATTGAATTCTCAAATATCTAACTCAGATGCGTGAAAATGCAGGTTGATATTAGCACAATGCTTGAGGAAGCTGTCCATTATGTGAAATTTTTACAACTCCAAATTAAGGTAATAACAAAATCAAATGTTCTAATTAAGAGGTTTAGAATGAAATCTGAAACAATAATTCTATTCAAAGAAACACAAAAAGGACACTATAGTATGGTTGGGCATTTCTATTGGACGTAGGACTCACCTGCATTAGAGAGTGTCTCAGCAAATATGTCGGTTTTTATGTGTCCATATAGCAATTACTCTATCTGAGAATAGATACTGATATTGTTTTTTTTTTTTTGTCCCCTTGTTTGTGGTTTTGTAGCTGTTAAGCTCTGATGATACGTGGATGTATGCTCCCATCTGTTACAGTGGAATGGACCTAGGACTTGATCTGAAGCTCACCACACCACAGCAATCATAAAAATTTTGAGATCGGAAAATGCTTTGGAACTCTATACTTCTCTCAACTCTCAACTTATGTGACAAAGTTAAGATAACCGTTCGCAAAGAAGTTGAGTTCTACAGCATTTTCCATTAAAAAAAGAATTAGTTATGCAGAGTAGTGAAGTTCTAAATAGCACTTGTCAAGTCCTAATTATTTTATCGAATCGTAGCAACTGAGCTGTGAGCTCCACTACCAAAACTAGATCTCCTCCAATGTACTCATTTTTGGTTGAATGGCTTGATCATGTTACCGTGATAGGATGATTATTCTGCAGATGTTATTCTTCCACTTCAGAATGATGATAATAAAGGTGATGTTGGAAAAAAAAATTCTAGTCGAAGTCTCCAATTTGACTTAACATACGAGTCAGATTGAATTCATTGTGATTTCCTAATTAAGCACATATATATTTATACATTTATTTGAAGTTTGTTTTAAATTGAGGATTTATATTCAATTATGATTTATGTGATACAGCTGTCGATAAAAATTAGTAACATGACGTATTAGTCCAAATTCAAAATTTGACAATTTTTTTAAAGTGAAAAAAAAAGAGACAAATAATTTGTAAAAAAAGTGACGTGTCATTGCCAATCCTTCCTCAAATTACAGCGCATTGCAATCCCTATGGCTTTACATGTTGGAATTTATTAGGTTTATTTAGAAAATTAATTAGATATTTGATTTGATTTTGTATTATGGTATTTTTGGTATTTACACATTAGGGTTTTTTTAAGTTTATATCGCTATAAAGATAGCTTGTAATTTAATTTGGGAAACAACTCAGTCAAGATGTAGCATCTTCGGTTCATATAGCATTTTTGGCAATTCTATTTAATAAAATTTTGTATTCATTTAGTTTAGTTGTTCGTTGCGTACTGTAAATTCAACTTGGTACCAGAGCAAGTTAGATCCTTCAGGGTTGAATTTGTTCTTGGTAGCTAGTTTACTTGTCTTGTCATGTTCCTCTTCTTCGTATTGGTTTGTGTTTTTTTTATCAAACGATAGATTTTGTTGGATTAAATGTTAGATTAGCCACTAACGGGTTTGAACTCACGCCGTAATGCAAGGATTCAACACCTTTCTACTATTGTGGTAAAGGGCCACTTGTAGTTTGTTTGTTGTCTTGTCCGTTGTTTGTTTTGATACAGTTGTCCTTTGGTTTAGTTTGAGAAAAACAGGTCTGTAGGATACAAAGTCGTTAAACCCATAAATCTTTCCTATTTTCATTGTCTAATCAGAACCTCCTGCTTGAGCCACACCATGCATCTATGCCAGCCATTGAACCATCACATCTCACCTGTCGTCTTCGCCTTGGATCACTAACGTTTTTTCTAATCCATATTATTGACCTATTATTCTTAATTGCATACACTACAGGAATAAATACACGAGAAATATTGACGTGTTATTGCTAATCCGTATACTGTTCTTCAATGTATTATATGGTAATTCTATATAAATGTATTCGATGACTGTTTGAGTTAATATTTGAACATTGGGATGCAAGTGTGTGAAGGTCCAGAGATGCCAATTAGAAGGGAGACTTGCCCAAAGCCCAAGCATCAAGCCCACAGACAAATTGGAGTCTTCCTATTAATGCATAGGCCATGTGCCTATGATTTAAATATCAAGTGATGGGGACTAACTCACAATCAGCCAAAAAGCACTTTTCAGTGGCAATACAAGTAAAAAGTTAATGACTCACTACCCTCCAAGTGCTTTTGGGCAGGAGCAAAGCCACTGCAGTCAGGCTGATTTGCCTATAAAAGGAGAAAGAGGCCCCAAAGACAAAGACACTTAACCAATCAAACAAACAAACATACAAACTCTGCTCTCAAGAAAGATTTGCATCTAAAAGCTGTAATAAGCCCAGATCTTAGTCCTTTTTAGGATATCTCCCTCACAAAAGCTATCTTTTATCTTGTTTAGAAGCTCTGTTATCACCCCTAGTGGCGCAGTATCGATTTCCTTGTGTAAACTGGTTTACCATCCATCCTTTTTTAGCATAGAAACCTTTGTAAACTCAAAGAGAAGTGATTGCAAGAGGTTCAACCTTGCCAAAAAAGGTGAAATCTTGCCTGAAGCTCTTTGTTTACTTTCTGAATTTGTAGATCTATTACTTAATGCATTCTCCAGTATGTATTCAAGTCATATCCACCTGTTTTCCTACTTTAAAAGTTTTATTTGTATATGGATCTGGTCAGTTTAAGGGATATGCTTTCGTTTAAAACCAATCAAGAACCAAACAAATGACTTAAGGGGTGGACTCCCCTCATTCGAATATACAAGACTATGAACTGAAAGTCCTTGGTCACAGGCCAAGAAAAAGAACTTAATGTGGACTTAACTCATCCACGACAATCTTTTGATAACAAGAAGTCCGAGTAACTTGGGGCGCAAGTAATCGACTTAACACAATCTTGTTCTACATCTGCTATACTGAGATAGAAGTGGCACGCCTAGCACTTAGTTTTGATTGTGAGCCTCAAGGCCTACACCTAAGACCCTACAAAGGCACCTTTCAAAACTAACTATGCCCTCTTATTGCAACACATCAGCAAGCAAAAGCCCAATTACACATCCAAAGTGACAATCCCTTGGGGAGCTGTATTGAGAGCCGAAGAGCCTTCTCCAGAGAAATCTTCGCCGGAACATAGTTTTGGCACGCTCGGTGGGACACATTTAGTCTTGTATGCCAAGAAGAATAAGGAAGGAGAAAACCTTCAGGTGGAATACAGAATACAAGCCACCCTATTGTTTACCAAGATCAAGCATGACAACTCATCCAGAGGATTTTCCTTCCCTGCAAAGACCAATTATTCTGGAAAGCCCGACTTCATCCGAGAAGTCAAAAGGGAAGGTAACTAATGAGGACTTATAAGCTACCATAGTGAAAGTATTGAGGAGTATGGAGAAGATCACTCTGGAAACTAGAGGAAAAGTAAGTAGACTCTGTTTTTTAATAGGAAGTTTGCAGAGAAGATTAGATTTGGAGTACTTTACCCCAAAAGATAGCCATGCTAGGGAAGTGATGAGAGAGGCTAGTCCTGAGAAAGAACCAGTTATTCCCCTATTTCCTTTGCTTAAGGAAAAGAGGGATAAAGGAAAAAAACAAGGAAAGATTTGGAGCTAGTCAGCCAATGTTGGAGGAAATCTTAGAAGCGGAGTTGCCCGACCCCCTATTATTTTCACTAGATAGTAAGGGGCAAAGCGGGCAAGAAAGAAAGAAGTATGGGATGCCCTAGTTGATCGGGGAATCCAGTGAAAAATGCTAGCTTACCAAGGCAGACAAGCCTCTTCCTTATAGGCCCTCATCATTGGCCAATAAGGGAGGGGATGCTAGAGGAAGCCTGAACCAAGAAAAGAGACTTTCTCACGCAATGATCGTAGCCCGAAATGGGAACTTCCTCATACTCCTCCTGATAATGCAGCTCACCAATAACTCAAGGATAAATTGGTCGAGTTAAGAAGGATGATAGCCCAGAATCATCCAACCCTAAGCTCGTCCACTGTTCAGGATCACCTATCAAAAGCCATACCCCGAGCATATCGATGAGCAGAAGCCTTTTCCCCTCAATTTTAAGATACCAATGATCCCCACTTTCAGTGAGGAAGATGACAGTATATCCTCTAAAGACCACATCTTCAATTTCTCCAACCATTGCGTGGCATTTGAAGATAATCTTAACTATAAGTTGAGGTTGTTTGGGAACTCATTGGTTGGCTTAGCATCTCAGTGGTACTCTTTGTTGCCCCCCAATTCTATTGCTGACTGGGGCAAATGAAGATGTCTTTCCATGAGCAATTCTGACACACCCCGACCGAGATCAGGGCGTGCTGGCCGTCACGTGGAAGTGACGTAGCCGTGTGCACAGTGCGGAAGCTAGTAAAGTAATAATATAAAAGTACGAGTAATTAAAAACTAGCATACAAGGTCAAAGTAAGTGTGCTAGCGTAAGTGAGACGCTAAGTTCAGAGCAATAGGTCTACAGCAGTCCAAATTAAAATGATGCGACAACAGTGCACCCAAAGGTGACCCTACATTGGTGAGTGTCTGTCAGAAATGCCTGGAAGCCCTCTGGGGAAACCACCGAACCTGCTAAGCAACTAGAACCTGGAGGGGCGCAAAACAAAAGCGTGAGTGGGCAAAAACAAAGCTCTTTGAAAACCATTTAGTAAAATACATTCTAACCCCTCGCTGTAAAACCTGTATACTTCCCAGAAAATAAACATATGTACGTATACAATAAATATGCCAATCATGCTCAAGGATATGCCATACCAAAATCTCGTGGTGAAATGCAAGTGCTCAGGTATAAACCGTATCAATAACATATCACTGGCAGCCGGAGCCCCCTAAAGTGACCTGTGCGGCTGAATCTAGAGCTCAAATCTCAATCTCAATCACTAAACCTGCCCACGAGTCGGAACCACCTATAGTGGTCTGTACGACAGGCCTGGGTGTAATACATATAAACGCTCTAGTGCTACGATCACGTGAAGGTTGTGCGAATAATCGCGGGTCACCTACGAGTCGGAACCACCTATAGTGGTCTGTACGACAAGACTGTGCACCTAGCTTGGATCCAAGCTGAGCGTGTGGTGCGGGAGGTGAACAACACGTGAAGGACTGTGCCCTACTCTGGGCGGGAGCACTAACACCGGGGGTGCAGGTTATGAGCTCTCTAAGCACCTCTAATCACTATTTAATGCAAGGGTTAAATAACGCTTACCTGGCACTTACCTGTGCCTCCACAGCACCAACATATATATATGACATATGAATGAATATATAAATCAACTTATATGCCATTAATCATGCATATCAACCAATAACATAAAAGAAATGGCATGCAAATAATAAGCATTTATATTAATTTCTGGGAATTATATGTATATAGGTATATACGGAAATCAAAAGCCCACTCACTGGTATGTGGAAGGGTCGTAGCCCCCCTGCCTGGAGTGAGCACGCTCGTCCTCGGGATACGTATCACCTATATGCGAAAATACTATAAAAACGTTAATTTTAAAGCACATAACCTAACTTTCGTAATAACTTCTCATACATTGCTCAAAATGGACAATTGAATATACCAACGTGCTCTACACAACCTCAAGATCACAACCATATTTTTAGAAAAATTTTCCACCGCCGCACGCGCCGCCACGCGCCGGCCAAGGCACGGCCACACGCAGGCACGTGCGGTGCACACGGACGGCGTCAACTGACGCCGTTAGGAATATTCCGTCAAAACTGACAGATTCCGTTAAC